TTGGGCTTACTTCCATTTCGAGTGAGAGTGTTTGGTGAAGAGATTCGAAGCTCGATTCCACCAGAAGACGACACTTTTAGTCGAAACGGAAGTAGTCTTAAGAATTATGAAACAAGAGATTCTTCGAAACCCAACTTTTCTTCGCATATGCTACATCATTGCATGCTCGTGTGATCGCCCTCGCTTTGAACAGACCTGGCGGCCTATTCGTCCAGGAATAAACTGGACATGAGATGGAGTAGAGTCGAAATTTAAGTTTTGGGAAAAAATAGGATGCCGTTTAACCACGTTTTGACTAGACTCACACTTTATGCAGATCCAAGTTCACCCAAAATGTTGATCTACTTAATCGGACCTGTGTCCGGCATTACGTCATTGGAGTGATGGTTAAAAAGGGTAATCAAGCCTTGGTTAGGGGGGGGCAGAATTTACGCTTTGTTTTAATCACTTGAAACGATCACATTGGCCTGGCGCCCTCGTGTACATATGAACTCATTCACACACCCTAATGCCGGCAGACGTAGGCAAATGTTCTAAATGGGCAAAGTATAAACTAACAAAAAATCAAATTGCTGGAGTGCATAGACAGCATATAGGGATGAATGTTTTTTAATGGCCAGCCTGATTTAATTGCAGGAATGGTACCAAGTTCTCATTGTGCCGGCCAACTGGTATGATGAACCAAGGAGGCTGTCTCAAAAACGGTGTAGATCGGACGGTTCCGCCACAGTCAAATGACAACTGGCTCCGAGGAAACCGCCATTGTCAACAAGAGATTCAGCCATAGAAACTACTTTTATTCGAATGTACTCTTTAATTTGTTGTTACCGCTTCTCAGCGCTCTCGGGCGATCTCTACTCACGAAATAAAGGTGACCCTTCCACGTCGTCAGGTGGGACGGCGCTGCCAGCGCCCTCTCAATTGGCTGGTCGACTGGGCAACAACATCAAACCAGCCTCAAAGACAAACCGGCCAAACCACCCAGGAGGCCACCACCCGCCAGAAGTGTGAGAGGACGAATCAGCTCCTCCGTCGTCGCCCAGGCATTCGTGTCCAAGGCGGACGCCTGCCCCGAGGCTACGGGTTTGAGTATAATCCACTCGAGTCAAGCCTCGACCAATTGCCAGTTGCCACGGCAACGAGATGATACAGACTTTGGCTGACTTGCACTGCCGCAGAGGCATTACAACTAGCCTGGGCCTAGAGGTGACAACAACAACCAGACACCGAGGCTTAAGGTGGGGCCGGAACCGATGGGACCTGAGCACGAGACCGGGGCCGGGGCTGATTCGGGCGTCATGACGACTCGAAGGCCTGGCCATGTTGGCGCCCGGTTGGTCGCAACGGTTGGGATTCGAGCAATAACGATGCAGCGACAGCAACCGAGGTTGGCGCTAGTTGGGAGAAAAGGGAGAGGAGGCTTGGGTTCGCAATGAAATGGTGTCCTTCATTCTTTCGATTAGGCCTCAGTTCGCCACCCACCCTCGCAACCATCCGCCCAGCGACGGGGCTCGAGCCGTGGACAAGGGCCTCGGACACGCGAGAGTCAGCCACCTTCGGGTTTTGCGGCTTGTGCTTTGTGCGGTTTGACGTGAATACTTTCATTTCGTATGGAAGTACATGATGAAAACATTCGTAGGTCAATCTCGCCAGATTCTCATCAAGCTTAGAAGATTATTCGAAACGCACATTCTCTTCGTGTATGCCTTGTGTGTTTGTCGTCTGCGGATTTCAACAGAATGCCTTAAGGAGCGACAGTCGGGCATTGCAGAGACATGAAGAAAAGCTGGTTCTCGAAGTCAAGTACAATGTTGCTAAGGCCTAGACGAGGTCGAGACTGGCCTCCATTTCGGCCTGGATGAGATTACCTTTTTAGAAGCGAGGTTAAATGAAATTCCAAGAAAAAGTGTCGCTGACTCAACTGATTGTGGTGGGAAAATTCAACCATCATTCAACATACATCCAAGCAGGGCGAGTAGAACTGTGACTGCCCGAATACTGACTGAATAACACTGAATAACTGGTTGATTGACTGACTAATGAGGGAGAGAGAAAGAACAGAAGGAAGCGAATGGCAAGAAAAAGATGCTTTATTCGCTTCGAATCCTATTAGGACCTGCACCCCTATGATTCATCACTACTGCGTACATACAGCACACATACAAAAACCCGCCTAAAAGCGCATCAACACTGTAGACATAATCGAATTCCACTTTCCTTTTTGTCCACAACCACATTCTCTTCATGCAATAGGATCACTCAGTTGCAATTATATCATGTTGGCCAAACAAAGCATTAAGATAACAAAATTAGGCATTTTCGTTTAAAAAGCAGGCTGTCGAGGTTACCAACTGAGTATGTATATAGGATTTCGTTAAACTACTTGAGGCCGTACGTTTTGGAAATAAGAAGTGTGTTCACACAATTTGGTGTATGAAAGAGGCGTAGTTGAGTTTTCCAACCGTAAGCCAAATCGGGTGAACACAGCTCCAATTCAAGATCTGCTGGTGATATCGAAAGCCTATGTGAAAAATGAAATAAAATAATGTGTATGAAAACCAAGATGGTGTGGCCTCTGGTATGGTCGCAGTCTCCTTTCGATGTATAGAAGTGTACAAAAGTGAGTTAACCTCGTTGTTGCAACTTGATCTTGTTGTCAAGGCGACTTAGTAGGACGCACCTAATCCAAAGTCGTCGGTCATAGTAGTCGTCATAATTGCCAGCGTCAGACAGTGGACTTGGTACATTCAAAACGTTTCGCCGGCATCGTTAGTCGTCGTCGGCATCATCAGTGAGTTAGTTTCCTTCTCTCTTTGACGAGTTCGTAGTTCGGTGTGGAGAATGGCAAAACTCACTGATGATGCTGACTACGA